GGCAGTTGAAGACAGGGTTGGTCACTGCTCTCTGGGCCTGGTGTTTCTGGAGTGGCAGGTCTGCACCCATCCTCAGTTACCTCTGGCCCTGGGATCTGGGAACAGGGGAAAGACACCTCCATCCCTGTTGTAGCAGGGTCTCACTCCTTTTTAAACTGGATGCTAGGGAGCGAGGGGGAGGACAGGAAGTTCCTGGCTCCTGACTTCCCTTGGACCCACTCCATGTCAGGAACAGAAAACAAGGAAAAGGGAGGGGACCAACCTAGGTGGATAGGTACCACACACCTCTATTCACCTTTCTTCCTTCTCTAACCACCTTGAGAATGATCCCTATTTTACAGAGCAGCAAAGCCACTGGGGAATTTTCTTCTAATCTGCAATTCCCAGAACCAGGATGTTTTTTGTTTGTTTGTTTGAACCCAGGGTCACTCAACCACTGAGCCACATCCCCAGCCCTTTTATGCATATTATGTTGAGGCCGGGTCTCGCTGAGTTGCTTAGGGCCTCACCAAACTGCTGAGACTGACTTTGAACTCACATTCCTCCTGCCTCAGCCTCCTGAGCCACTGGGATTACAGGTGTGAGCCTCCAAGCCCGGCTCAAAACCAGGATCTTAATCAAGACCTTAGGACCCTAGAAACTATGTTGGTTCTGTTGTCTGTTTTTGTTTTACTTTAGCTCCATACAGGAAATTGGGGACTTCAATTCAGTACAACAAATCTTTTTTTTTTTTTTTTTTTTTTTAAAGAATTTTTTAATGTTTATTTATTTATTTTAGTTTTCGGCGGACACAACATCTTTGGTTGTATGTGGTGCTGAGGATCGAACCCGGGCCGCACGCATGCCAGGCGAGCGCGCTACCGCTTGAGCCACATCCCCAGCCCAGTACAACAAATCTTTAACTACTGCCTTTGTTTTCTGGGGGCCAAAGAAGAACTCAATAGAGTTTCTCAAGTAACCTCAGATAGATTTATTTGTTTGTTTGTTTGTTTAGGGTGCCGGGGATTGAACTCAGGGGCACTCGACCACTGAGCCACATCCCCAGCCCTATTTTGTATTTTATTTAGAGACAGGGTCTCCCTGAGTTACTTAGCACCTCGCTGTTTCTGAGACTGGCTTTGAACTCACCGTCCTCCTGTCTCAGCCTCCCAAGCTGCTGAGATTACAGGAGTGCGCCACCACACCTGGCTCTAACCTCAGAGTTTGGTCAAATCTTTGAAACTTCTTTAAGGGTCAGAAATTCTTTGAGTATCTAAAGGAGGAATGTGAAGTTTCTTGCCCCAGAATAATTTGTGTTAGATACATACTCTACAGGAAGACTGATCATTCATGCCCCCCGCCAATCCAAGAAGCCCAGGTTTAAAACTCATAAATCCACAGATAACTATATTCAAACATGTTGCCCCCTTCAGAGAGAGTCTCAGAACTTGGGGAAGAGGAAATTAATCCCTTAATCCCAGGGACAGTATTATCCAAGACCTTCTGCTAACTGTAAACTAGCTGTTTTCAGTCTTTTCTGCTAGTGTGCTCTCAAATTATTATTTAAGCACTATGTACTCCCTGGCATATTTTTTTTAGTTGATAGCTAGCATTTTTTCATCAAAAGTTTAAATAGTTGCAAAGGCTGTAATTTCTGGCATATTGTAAGTTCATACACTCAAAAATAAAAAGTTCACATCATTCTTTTAAATGAATTAAATACCCTAACAATTGACATTTGCAACCATCCATTTTAAAAATACATGACAACTTGGGAGGCTGAGGCAGGAGGATAGCAAGTTCAAAGCCAGCCTCAGCAAATTAGTGAGGCCCTAAACAACTTAGTGAGATCCTGTCTCAAAAACAAATAGATAAATAAAGAGTTGTGAATGTGGCTCAGTTGTTGAGCACCCCTGGTTTCAATCCCCAGTACCAATAATAATAACAACAATAATAGTAATAACAATAATACATGATCGGATTCTTCTCTAAGTGTCAGAAATTTTGCGGTATTTTCCTACTTGAACTCAAATTTCTGCTCCATATTCTATCATAAATTTTTATTAGGTTTTAAAAATGCCTAAGAGGGCTGGGGATGTGGCTCAAGCGGTAGCGTGCTCGCCTGACATGCGTGCGGCCTGGGTTCGATCCTCAGCACCACATATAAACAAAGATGTTGTGTCTGCCGAAAACTAAAAAATAAATGTTAAAAATTCTCTCTTTCTCTCTCTCTCTCTTAAAAAAAATGCCTAAGAGATTTATTGATGACTGTATTATACTTATCTGCTTGAAAATATAAGTGTAAAAATGAATTATTATCTTATTTTCTATCATAAGACTAGGTTCTCAACTTTTTCTACTATTACAATTATTATTAGAATGCACTCAATCAAAATAATACGAATATATGATAATTTTTAAAGTCCTACAGCAATTTAAACACCTTTTTTGAGCTAGATCTGTCATGAAGTAAACTATACACATTTAAAATAAACAATTTGAGCTCAGCATGGTGATGTACTACTGTGATCCTGGTGACTTGGAAGGCTGAGGCGGGAGAATCACAAAAGTTTGAGGCCAGCCTCGGATACCTAGCAAGATTCTCAGCATCTTAGTAAGAGCATGTCTCAAAATAAAAAATGAAAAGGGCTGTGGATGTACCTCAGTGGTGAAGCACCCCTGGATTCAGTTCCCAGTACTGAAACAAAACGTAAGTCCTGGGTGAGTATCGGGCACTCTGGAATGGGATAGGTTTTAGCAGTAACTTTATTCCTATTTTCTATTTTTTATAGATGTCAAGCAGTGGTATGAACGTTGCAAATTTGTTGTTAAGCATAACTATTTTTTAAAATGTTTAGTTTTTAGTTGTACACAATACCTTTATTTTGTTTGTTTTTATGTGGTGTTGAGGATCGAACCCAGGGCCTCATGCATGCTAGGCAAGCGCTCTACACCTGAGCCACAAGCCCAGCCCTTAAGCATAACTAATTATTAAAAGCTAAATAATATAAACTTACAATTAAATAAGTTATATTAAAAACAAAGAAGGGCTGGGAGTATGGCTCAGAGGTAGGACACTTGCTTAGCATGTGCAGCCTGGGCTCAGACCCCAGCACTGCAGAAATAAATAAATACAAAGAAAATAAGTATTAAAAACTCATTTTTCCTAATTCTTTCACTACACTTCATTATTTATGCTCTTGAAATTATGTATACTATTTTATCCATGGATAGAAATACTGCTTGTCTCTTTCCAACTCCGTGTTCAGTGACAGCTCATTGGCAGTGTCAAATCAACCAGGGTAAGATTATTTACATCACAGAAATTGGCAAATGGTGCAGTTTAGCACTCCCACCGTTCCAGGCCTATTGCCAAACATTTACCAGCATCCTGCTGGCTGTAAATGCTGAGAAATTTTCCCTTAAAGAAGTTGGTGGGAACGGAAGGAATTTTGTTATAGCAGTGCGATGACAGATAACTAAAACCACATAGTAAACTATCATCAAAAACTATTTTTAATGATCTATCTACTACCGACTAAATTAGGCCCTCCTTCAGCTCTGTGGAAAGCAAAGTTCATCAGCCATTTCACATGTGAAAGGATTTTTTATTGTGGCATGAGGATTGTTCATTTTCTAAGTTTCTTTCCAAATCCTAGGAAGGCATATTAAGAATAGAGGCTGAGGCAGGAGAATCGAAAGTTTGAGGGCAGCCTGGGCAAGACCCTGTCTCAAAATAAAAATGAAAAGGGATGAGGATGTTGCTCAGTAGGGAAAACACTGTATTTAAGCTTGCTTTACTCTCAAGGATTTTTGCCACAAGAGACTTTGTGTTTATGATAATAATTAAGGAATAGAAGGGAAGTCATTTCCAGTTCTTCACCCCGCCACCACCACCAATAAATAGATAGAGAGGTAGACAGACAGACAGGACTAGGAAACTTTACCATCATAGGATGGTCCCAATAATCCCAAACAGTGCTGGTGCATGGGGTTGAGAATTGTATCACTTCCACCCACCGCAGAACACAATGCTCTGTCAGTAAGGAGGATGAGTGATAAGGGGACAAACAACTGCCTTTTATGAAGCATGAAAGCTGAGAAGGGAGATAAATTTGCAAACAAGTTTTTAGAAAGATCAGACTTTCTTTTATCTGGGGAATCAAACCCAGGCCCTCAAGCAAGTTAGGAAAGCGCTTTGTCACTGAGCTACACCCCTAGCCCATCCCACCCCACCTGGAATTAAATTTTGAGACCTGCCGGCTGGCCTCTAACTTATGATCCTCCTGCCTCAGCCTCTGGAGTCGTTAGGATTACAAAAAATGGCCGCCACACCACCATGCCTGATCTAGCTTTTTAAGAAGTCCCTAATTTGAAAAATTAATCCCTTAAAACAGAGGTCAGTCACTTTGTGACCGAGGTCTGCTGCCGGTTGCCTGTTTTGTCCAGCTAAGAATGATTTTTACAGTCTTAAATGGTGGTGGGGGCGGGGCGGAGTCAAAAGAATATTATTTCGTAACTCGTGGAAAATTGTTCAAAATTCTGATTTCAGTGTCCATCGGTGATGTTTGATCAGGACACAGGCAGGCTCAGTCCTCTAACACTTTATGGCTGCTTTGGAGCCACCAGGTTCGGATGGCTGGGATGGGGATTGATTTAGTCCTTTACGAAAGTTTGCTGTCCCCAAGCTACCCGCGTCCTCGTCCCGCAGCCTCCGACCGACGACGCATCGGGTGGCCCTCATGAAAGACCTTGGCCAGGTCCTCCGTTCCTGGGCCTCGGTTTCCCCAGTTATGAAATGGGGACAGAGACAGTGCTCCCCGGGGTCCCGCCTGGCGGTGCCCCGGGTGACCGGGCGGTGGAGGTCCCGGAGGCGGGCTGCGCGCGGGGGCGGTCCCCGGGGTTTCCAGCTCGGCGGGCGGCGCAGCGCCCCGGGCCGGGCCGCGGCGGGGAATTCCGGGCGGGGCGGGGGCGGGCCGGGGAGGGGCCGCCGCCTATAAGAGGGGCCCGCGCCGGCCGGGGCCACTCGCCGCTGCCCTGGGCCCCGCGAACATGTCGCCCGCCCGCGCGCTCGCGCTCTGGCTGCTCCTCTGCGTAGGCGTCTCCGCAGCCTCGGCCGAGTCGGTAGGTGCTCGCGGGTCCCGGGGGCGGGCCGGCGCCCCTTTGTTACCGAGCCGGGTCCGGTGCTGCGCGCGGGGCGCCGCTCCCAGCCGGATCCCCAGGTCGGAGAGAGTTTGTGGGGAACCTGGCCCCCGGGTCGCCGGGAGGCTCGGTGGCCCCGCCGCGCGCCGCGCCGCAGCCTGTTGGTCTTCCCGCTCGCCTGGTTTCTGCGCTCCCGCGGGCTCCCGTCAGACGTGACTAAGCCCGTGTCACACCTCCCACACCCTCGCCCCTCGCTGTGATCCTGGCGCAGGCTCTGAGCGCTGAATCCCGCTCCCGGGCTCCCAGAGGGGACAGCTTTGAGAGGCGGACATGGCCTGGGGACGAGGGGCAGCGTGTGCTGGAGGTCGTGCCGGCCTCTGTGTTACGCGCGGGGAGTGGACGGCTGAGCGGGACCTCAGTTCTGGCCCCCGCCTTACCGTTGACTCGGAGGAGGCCAGGCCTGCCCCTTCTAGTCCCACCTTCCCGGCTGCACAAGGCTGCGGAGAAATGGGGCGACTACTGCTTCTTTGGGGTTCCTAGAAAGTGGGGACCTCGATCTTTCAAGGGCACACAGGAGCGGTGGTTTAGAGGCAGCTGAGCTTCCGTTTTCTCCAAGTGTTGACCGCACAGGGGGAAACTGAGGCACCCACCTCCAGCGGGGTTACAGGGGACTGGAGTGGGGAAGGCCTCCGTGAGCCTAGAGAGATATTTCCTTTCCACCTTCTGCAGGTCCCCAGGACAGGTTACATAGCCCTGGGCCACCAGAAGCTGCATGGCGGCAGCCAGCTGGGGAGGAGGGAGGTACCTCCTCTGGGAAGTTGGGGGCACAGGAATGGCTGGAGTGGTGATCTACCTCCAGGAGCTTGAACTGTGTGCCCTTTAGCCCCAGTGTTGGGGGAGTGAGTTCCTGGGGTTTAATCATTAATGTCAATTCCTTTGAAAGCCCTGAGTCTCCTTTTCCTCTCTACTTAGGGGTAAGTTGATTCTATCAGTCTCTAGTTGTGGAGTGAGTGAGACCCTAGCAATACCCCCTCTTCTCCACATCCCCCCAGCACAATTCCAGGCTCACCTTGCATACTGCAAAGATTTAGTGCTTTTGGTGTGTCTGGTCCTGTTCTAATAGTTTTCTAATGGCTCTATCAACTAACTTAATTTCAACAACCCTACTGTTTACTGTTCTTAAACTGGTCCTGAGGCTAGAGAGGTTAAGTAACTTGCCTAAGGTCACACAGCTAATAAGAGGTTGAGTCAGATTCAAATTAGACAGCCAGGCTTCCAGGTTCCTGCTTTTATCTTATTCTGAGGGGCTGTTGCTGTGTCCCATCCTGGAATAACTCAAGACTGAGATTTGCTGGGTTTGATCTAGAATCTGTTGAAATTGGGGGGCTGGAAAGCCTCAAGGGATTTTACAGTGCAAGTACACAGAAGCCCAGAGTGGGGCACTTGGAGAGAGGTTAGAGCCAAGACTGGAACCAGCCTTCTGCCCCATTGCAGTGCTAGTGGGGCCTTAAGGGGTTGGGATCAGCAGTTAGGGAGGCATCTGAAGGAACATTAGCTGGGCCTTGTGGGATAAAAGGAAAGGACCCAGAGGTGGCTGAGGTCACCACGTGGACAGTCACGTGTCGGTCTCAGCTCTGGGTCTGCTGAGCCTGCAGGTGCTTCACAGGAGGAGCAGACTGCTGTGTCCTGGGACAGTCAGAAGGATGTGGTTTGGGGGAGGGGTTGTGTCTATCCTGTGTAGGGTGACCCAGGATGACCGACCCATCAACTTGGGCAGCTGCTTCCTGAGAGAGGTATCAGTCTCTCAACTTGACCTTTGCTCTCCCCTTCCTGGCTAATGTCAGACCTCTTGCCTCTAACTGGGGCACAGGTCTTCCCCATTTGACTTTCCCAAAAGATCAGACCAAGTCTCAGTTGGCTTAGTCATAGAGACGAACCAGCCTTCCTTTTTTGGTGGAGAAAAATGAGGCCCAGGAAGAAGGAGTTTGCTAGCAGTTATGATTTGTTGAGTGCTTTCCATATGTCATCTAGTGCATTTTATCTTCACAAAAAGCCCAGTATGTGGCGATTATATTGTATTATACCCACTTTCCAGATGAGGGAACTGAGAGAGAGGTAAGATGGTAGCACCTTGGGGTAGTCGAGAGCATCCAACTTGAGGCCATCAGAGTTCTTGTCTAACTACTAGTCCTTTTTCAATTTTAGGTTTGATCCAAAGCCAGCTCTTTCCTGGGATGGTGCATCCCCTACCTTGGTGCCACAGGTTTTGGGAAGGAACCCCAGAGCGAACACCCAGCTGCTCTCTCCTCTGTCTGCAGGGTTTGCCATCCTAAACCAGTTCTTCCTGTCCAGCTGGGAGTATTCTCCTGGTCTGCCTTCCTGCCACTCCCTCCTTGGCCAATTAAAGGCAGCCTTGTTTGGGGAGTGGGGAGGGATGGAAGGGGGGCAAAGGTGTTGCTGCCCGGGGGCACAGTCCACTGACTTGGCACCAAGCCCAGGCCGTTCTGGGGAAGTGTTCCCCAGCCACCAGGTGTACTTCAACTTAAAGACATTTCTGGTCTTCTTGAGAATTCTTTCCTTGATTGCACAGAAGTGAGGGTGGGGAGGAAGCCCAGTGGATTCTAGGACCCTTGAGTATCCAGTGAGAACCCTTGGGACTCTGTGGGAGCCCAGAGAGTTACCAAACATCTGGGGAACTATTTGGGCTGGGCTGTGGAGGGCTTCATGGGGTTAGAGGGAGGTCCCTTGCCCTGTTGAATCGATGACCCCCATCTGTAAAATGAGGAGTTTGAGCTGGATAGCTTCAAGAGCCCTTTCCAGCACTGATATTTCATTAACAGCTAAGTACCAACTATCCAGAAGGGGTTGTGGAGCCACAAAGACATCCAAGACATTCCCTCTAGGGACTTAATATGCTGCCCCAGATTCTGGAATGGGGGAAGCCCCTCCCACACACAACCCTAGGGCAGGAACTTTGCTTCATTTATTTTGGTTAAATACCTGTCCCATAGTTAGTTCTCAGGAAATGTTTGTATGAATGAATAAATTCATGCATGTAACTTCATTCTAAAAGGTGCATTGAGGTTATATATTACTAGTATGAATGTCTCCCAGTAATACTGTGAGGTATTTTTATCTCCATTTTTTATAGGAAACTAATGCTCAGAGGAATGTAGTGGCTTGCCAAGGTCAAAATCAGGTCGACTGATAGTGCAAGATGTCTGGTTTGATCATTCTCAGAACATTCCAGATAAGGAGATTTGCTGGGTTTGATGGTAAATGCCTTGGGTCCTATTTCTACATTGTTGGATGTCCTTGAGCAAATATGCCCTGTGTCTGGGTCTCAGTGTCCCCACCTGTAAAATAAGGGGTTAGGGCCCTTTGCTTGCTACAGGTCCTTCCTCCCCCCACCCCAGAGCCCATTGATGAGGAGAGGGGAGCTTCTTGGCCCCCTTAGTAGAGAGTCCAAACAAGAGCCCGACTCAAAGAGAAGTGGGGATGGACATTCAGCTCCTGCCATCTCCAGCTCCTGGAAACAGAAGGCTCTTCCAAGGACTTGGAGTGCTGAGCCGCCTTGAATGAGGAGCTAGAGAGGCCAGGCTGGGCTCCAGCCCCAGCTCCCTGTTGAAAGGAATTGGCTTCTAGTGGTCCTGCGGCCTTCTGGGCTGGATGGGTGGGAGTGATTTCCAAATGAACCCTTAAAATGGGGGGAAGGGGTGGATGGGGCTCTGTGAGTCTCTGTGGGCTACTGTTACCTGCCTGAGTCCCCATTTCCTTTCAACATCTTGGCTAATAGGATGGCTCTGTGGTGGGGGTGTGGAATGGATATGAAGGCTTTTACCTTGTCCTTTGGGGGGTCAGCATCTTAGTGTCCAGGAGTCCAACAGGAAGTACTTGTACCAAGCCCTGTGTGAGGACTTTGACACTGGTCAGAGTTCATCCAGTCCTCAAAATGGGTCTTTAGACCTCTGCAGAACTGGGGGCACATCCCCCACACACAGCAAAACTGAATGTGAGCTCAGAACAAAGCTGGTGGCACCGTGCAGATGTGACTTGACCCAGGGTTCTGGGACACTTCTGAGGCCTCCTCCTTGCTGCTGGTCATGCTGGAGTGCAGCTCAGTGGGAGCTGCCTCGCCGGCTCCAGGTGGGTTCCATCCTCTGCAAAACAGGAAAAAAGAGGGACTGAAGCAGTAGGTAAGGAGTAGACACCAGGGTTCATGCCCAGCACCCACCCCCCCAAATCACCGTGGTTTCTGGAGAGCTTAAAGATAACAAGGCTGCAAATAAAGGCACGTAGAATAGTACAGCGCTTAGCCGAGAGGAGACTGTCCCTTCCTTGCCAGGGCCTCTAGAAAGCTTTCTCCCCTCCCCCACATCTAACCCCACAGCTGGTGGCTGGAAAGGGAGGAGTCCCCTGTGGGGCTGATGGAGTCCAAATCTCCTATTTGTTTATCTTAGAAGTGGGCTGTTTGCTCATTATTGGATGGGTTTATATTTAAACAAGAACCTGTCCTGTAGGAGCCTATTGCTGAGCAACTTGAGCAACTCTGCAGCCTGCACAGAGAGGGGGCAGGGTGTTTCCTAAGGGTGCTGGACACTCAGGACATTGCCCGGGTCTCATGTCACTCTCCTGTGTTGGAGGGACAGAATTCTAGGCTTTTTTTTTTTTTTTTTTTTTGGTACCGGGGATTGAACCCAGAGGTACTTTACCACTGAGCCATGTCCCAGCCCTTTTTGTTTTTGAGACAGGGTCTCCCAGAGTTGCTTAGGGCCTCACTAAGTTGCTGAGGCTGATCTCAAACTTTTGATCCTCCTATCTCAGCCTCCCATGTCCTGCCATGGTGCCCAGCAAATTCTCGTGTAAGGGTGGCTGAATGATTGCATATAACACTCTGGGCTTTGGAGGGGCAAAGTGATGATGGACAGAAAAAGGCAGTGTTCTGAGAAGGCAGCTAGCCCGAGTTTTGATGCATGGTGCCC